CTCTTCTCCGTGGTGCCCAGCAACAGGACAAGAGGCAACGGGCAGAAACTGAACCACAGGAAGTTCCATCTGAACAAGAGGAAAAACTTCTTCACTGTGAGGGTGACAGAGCACTGGAACAGGTTGCCCAGCGAGGTAGTGGAGTCTCCTTCACTGGAGATATTCAAAACCCGTCTGCATGTGATCCTGGGCTCTAGGTGACCCTGCTTGAGCAGGGTGGTTGGACTAGATCTCCAGAGGTCCCTTCCAACCTAAACGATTCTGTGATTCTGTAATAATACACATGAACCATCCTGTTGATTCTATCTAGACTGCTCTCATGCATAGGTCTTTGCAACATCTATGAATATATTTCATTGGATATCAGTTATCCTAGTTGTTCTATTTTCTTCTTTTTTTTTCTTAGACAGACTAATTAGGGATATCCAAGGACAGTGCATCTTTCATGCTTCCCAGATCTTTGAACTATTGATATTTGTTAGGGGCTTTACCCATGTCACGTTGTTAAATTAAGAATCCATAACCTGTATCTGTTCTAAAAAAAATGGGCAGCTTCAAGACATATATTCATAGCACTATTTAAAATTCCATACCAGTAGGGTACTAAAAAATACTTAGTTTCAATATACATCATTTTTAAAGTGTGCACCATAGTTTCTCGGTTAACAACTAAAACCCAACCAAGAGATTAGTAATATGCATTACTAACAAACTACTTTTAATGCTACAAGATAGACCACATATTCTTCCTAAGTTAGGCTAACTACACTATTTAGAGAAATCATTAGCCTAACCCCTTAAAGGCAGCTAGTTGGATTCAGTTCTGTTTCTGGCAGCAGGAGAGTACATTTACCGTCTTTGTGATGACTCTACTTTTGTCCTGTGCTACTAACGCTGATAATGAAAGGCATTTCATTCCTATGTATTCAGTTCTTTCTATATTTTATTTCCTTTCTAATGAGATGTATGTAAGTTGAGGAAAAAAAACCAACAAAAACTTCTCTGCCCTCTGCTGATTATATGGTTCAGCTGCTCACCCTAAAACACCAAGTATTCCAGAAGCGGTAGTAGCTGACCTCACCTTCTAGTAATGAATTCAGTTATGCCTCTGCTTTTCAGAGATACAGACTCTTCTAGACAAAGATTAGTGATGAGTCTGGCAGAATGGAGATAGGTTTGTTCTCAGCAGAGGGAACAATGGCTTCTTATGGTCCTCTCTTGGCAGTTCTGCTCCAGAAGAACCAGCTGCGGCTTCTCTGAGAAAGTGTTTTTTTTAAGAGTTTTTCCTCTAATTCAAAGGAAAGCGCAGAAAGATGATCCAGCCTTAGCTAGCACTCCCTTTTCTGGATTATTTGTGTGTGGCTGGTAGAAGAATTGATGTGAGTATTAAATTCTCTATCTTTTACTTTATCTAGATTCCCAACCTTGGAGAGCATTCTGGGACAAAAGAAGTGGGAAATGGCATGATTGTCACGCATGACCTTATACTACTCCTAGAAGGAAATGATACACACAGTTTAACTGAGTAGGTGTTTTAATGATTTCTGGTCGAGACATGCTACTGCGTACAATTTTATGCTTTTCCAGTAGATGATAGTCAGAGCTTTGGAACTGATAATAGAAGGGAAACTTAGAAGAGTTTGTTAGTTGAGAAGATAAGACTGTACTGACTTCAGCCTTGGTAGAAGAAAATACAGGAAACTATGATCAAGGATAAAAGGGCTAAATTTACTTCATCCCTTTCAAATTTGTATCTGAGATCATTATCTTATTGTTAATAGCTCCCCTCTTTGAGCTAAATCATGCAGTTTAGTAATTTGTTCCTGCATCCAAAAAAATCAGTGTCATCCAACAAGGACATTTAAACTCTTCATACTTTTCTAAACCACACAGCTGTTAAGTGCTAACCAATTCATCTTAAGCCATACAATCTGAAAAAGCATTCTGCGGGCTTTTTTAATTTTATTTCATGGAAGAGTTCTGTGTTCTCAAGAGCCATATTTAAAATGTAACCCCACTGGCAAATAAAAATAGCTGAGTGTCCTCCCTTCCACAGCACTAAAACACAAACATGCAAGACAGGCAGATGAAGCAGGACAAAGCTTTCTTTTTAGAATAATTTCTCTAACATATTTTGCCAAGCAACATGATTGTTGTTCCAGTATAACAGAAACAAAATAACCTTCAACTGTCATTGTTTCTGTTCTAGGACTTAAATAATTGGAAAAGACTGTAAATCTGAGATTCATACAAGAATCCCTATTACAAGACCCTAGTACAAGCTAAGTTCCCAGACATCCTATGAATATGAATCATAATGTTTAGATGAATATAGTATAGCTTTGTTCAACAAAATAAAGAAACATTGGATAAGTTACAATATGTGGTACAGACTTACAAAGCTGGTAGTTCCTGAAGATGCCTCTTTATCTGAGATTCAGGAGCTACATATGAGCTATGGTAAAGGAAACCTGAACTAGCCAGTTACATCAAAGCTGAAGTGTCTTTGTGCAGCAGCATCTAGTCATGTATGAGTAACATGGCACAGATGCATGTAATGTCTTAGGAAAGACTAAATAGAGCATTAGCTTTGTTTGCTAGTAGCCTAGCAAATAAATGGTCACAACTTAATACAGTGAATATCACTTCTTTCAATTTTTTTTTCAGCATATCCTTTATCAGAAAACGTTTAGCCAGACTTTCTTGCATTTCTTTTACTGTATTGTTTTGTCATGTTCTACTGAATACTGAATTTCTTGTACTCTCCTGAATTACATACTCAACTGAATTTCTTGTACTCTACTGTAGTTTGCTATCTGAAAGCTCAAACATAGGCTGACCTCATTGGTTATAGATTCCCTGGTAACTTCTGTTCCTTGGTTGAATATGTAACTTTTATCAGATTTCTAAGGTGAATATTTTCCAAAGTAAATTTAGAATTACTTTCAGCAAATATTTTGTAGTGAGATTGAAATTCATTATGCAAGCATATAACAGATGGTAACATTCAAATGAATGATTATAGAAAATCAATTAACTTGAATTTAAATATTTATGGAGAAAAAATTGTAGTATTTATCCAGTACTCTTTTCAAAAGATTTTGTAATCTCTGTTTAAAAAAGAAGGGCAAACCTGCAAACTTTTCTGGCTAGGAATTGGAATGATTTTCTTAAAGAAACATGTCTTCACATCATGAAAAATAGCCCTGTAGCTCCTAAGCTTGCTTTATTAAATCCTCCTAAAAATAATTTTGAAATTTCTTTACTTAATTTCTTTGGTCAGATAATGTGTCTAACCTGTATTTCTTCTCTGTAATCATTTTCTATATGGGGAACATTTATCTCAAGGGAATTTGAGTGATTCAAGAGAGGAGATTCTATTTTGACATAATTTTAATAATACCACTCTGATAATGTCTTTATTATTTAAAATATTAGTTTTATGGATCCTACCATCCAATAATGCAGTCCGCAATAACTGAAAGCTTGCTGATGAAATCTGTGTATTTGGACTAGTTTTCTATTGTTTATCGGTTTTTATGTGGAATGAAATTTATCCAGCATAACTGAAGTATTAGCTGGTGCAAAAAGATTACTCAAGGACCTGTTGCTGAGGCATTTCCATTCTGTGCCACTGTTCAGATACTTAGATAACCAGCAGATTCATCACTATTGGCAAATGAACTGTGCTGCTACATTTTGAAGTAGAGAATTGGAGGAAATTTACTTTTGAAGGTAAATTTTATGGACTTATTATTGTCAAGTTTTAAAAAGATATTTATTTACTATAAAAAAAGAGATAGCTTTTGTAAATTTTAAGTGTGTAAGATCCATGAATACGAATCATTGATGATACATCCTATACTTTGCAGTTAAACTACGCTTGATTGATAGTATTTCATTCTTTACACAGTTCAACTTTTCAGTTACCTTTCTGTTCTGCTGCTGCCTAAATAATAAATTTTTTCTTCTAATGTTATGAGAAAAACACTCATTTTCTTGTTAGCCAGAAAAAAACCCCAAAAGTTTGCCATCCCTTTCAAGTGAATTTATCAAGCTGCAATGTGGCCTGCAGAGTTAAAATGTGAAAATAAAAGAAATAGTCTCATAAATGCCTGTACAAGTTTTTCCAAGAATGCAGCCACTGCTCAGAAGAGGAGACAAGGAGGACTGGTGAAGTATAAAACACTTTGCAGACTAATTTGCAGTTCTGCAGTGAATGCCTTTATTTGGCTGGTGCCTTTCCCTTCCCTTCCTTCTCAAAGGCATCAGATTTCTAGGAGAGAGTGAACGTTAAATTCTTTTTGGCATTTCTTACAGGGAAAAGCCAAAAGGACTAATGATCTGGGACTAACTTCAAGACGTTTGCTTTTCCATTAAATCTTTAAAGGCAAGATTTTTATCTTAAAAATGAACTGGATATTTGTTTCTGTCCTAGTTTACAGATTTACGAGGATAATAAAGAGTTAATTAATTTAGACAACAAATCTGTAGTCAAGTCAGAAATAGAAGCCTGGGTCCCCTACTCTGTGTGTTTTTGTTAATATATATGTGATAGCCCATGTGTTTTCATTTGATGATATTTTGAATTGTTAGGAAGCTGCCTAAGTAGAAGCTGGTCATTTTTGGATTATACTTTTAACTGGTATCATCATCTAACTATGAACTGCATCAAGCATCAGTCTGGCTACTTGTTTCTCTCACAGCCCATCCATTTTCTTCTACACTATGACTGTACAGAGAACACTTTTAAGCTGGTGTGCAGGATACTCCTCCACTTATGCAAATCTCTTATGATATTCTAATTTACTGCTTAAGAGAAGTTAGCAGCCTAATAGCTAGGTAAGAAGTAGTTAAGGATCATTCATATTTAAAATACAATTTTAATTATTGAAGCAAAATGTGCCAGACACATTATAAACATACAAAGATAGTATTATGTATAGGAGATTGCTCCTTAATAGGCATATTTTTATAGTAAAGCCCAAAGATACTTCAGGGTTTCTTTCATGCTGACTATTAGTACCGTTAATGAAGTGAGAAACTATATCAGCAAAAAAACTAGGGCAGGTTATCAATTCATTTGATAACCTATCAAAACATTTGATAAAGTGTCATAATTATACAAGGATCACAGCAGAGACAGATAATGGTGATGAAAGAAGCACAAAGGCTGCATAGAATGTAAGGGGTTTTTAGCTGTCAGGGAAATTTGAAAGTTGATTGTTACTCTTGTTAGTATCACAGCGCTAAATGGAAAAATACCCTTTAAACACCGGTTAAGCAAACGGATTTAAAGCTTTCTCTAAAAAAAAAAAAAAAAAAAACAAAAAACAAAAAAGAACACTGGCTTTTCACCAAGTAATTCAGCCTGTGTGAAGGAGAAGGGTAGTTAAACCATCCTGGGAACTCTGACTCACAATGTCACACATCCTCCTCACTCCAGAGGGGAAACAGTTTGCACCACCCTTTTTCCTGGCACAGCTTGCTTTCTATTCTCCAAGTCTGGGATGCAGCCGAGCCCACACACTGATAAGGCCAAGGTTCTTTGTACACGCTGCCCACCTCAAAAAGAGGAGAAATCAGTCCACCAACATCTTCTTGCTGTCTCATATAGGACGTGAGGTAGTTCTTCCTCTTCTATGTTGGATTTGAAAAGGGCTTAAAACTGACTAAATGTTTGTGCAAATGTTGACATTCTGGATGTTTTTAACGTCATAAATCACAATGTTACTAATCTGACCAATATTTTAGTGAAATTACTGTTACTTCTTGGCACATTTTCATCAATTTTAATACAATGAGAACTTCTGTTTTTCAGTTTACCTTAAATATACTTTGTTCAGGGGCCAGCAAATGTGTACTTACCGCTTAAATGCATCAGATATGGTTGCTGAGGCTGAACATGTGGGCAAGGTTTTATGCTAGCTCTCTGAAATCTGACCTTCAGTTCTGGTTTACTGATCTCTCCTGCCCATTCACGGGAGCAATTAAATTGAAGGGTACAGGCACTCTCATTAGTTATGCTACAATTATTTTTAAACGTCAAGTTTAAATCATCATGCGTTCAGCTACTAATTTGATACTGGTCCTCTGTGAGACCAAACATCAGTGACTTTCGACACTGTTTCCCATCACATCCTCCTAGGTAAGCTCAGGAAGTGTGGGCTAGACGAGTGGACGGTGAGGTGGCTTGAGAACTGGCTGGATGGCCGAGCTCAGAGGGTTGTGGTCAGTGGTGCAGAGTCTAGCTGGAGGCCTGTAGCTAGCGGTGTCCCCCAGGGGTCAGTCCTGGCTCCAGTCTTGTTCAATGTATTCATCAATGACCTGGAGGAAGGCTCAGAGTGCACCCTCAGCAAGTTTGCTGATGATCCAAAACTGGGAGGAGAGGCTAACACACCAGAAGACTGTGCTGCCATTCCGAGGGACCTGGACAGGCTGGAGAGGTGGGCGGAGAGGAACCTCCTGAAGTTCAACAAAGGCAAAGGTCCTGCACCTCGGGAGGAAGAACCCCATGCAGCAGTACAGGCTGGGGGCTGACCTGCTGGAAAGTAGCTCTGCAGAGAAGGACCTGGGAGTGCTGGTGGACAACA